ATTAACAATGATGATAAAACCAATAACAGTTCTTAGGACGCCTTTCTCAAGTCTCAATGTGTTTACTTACTAACTTTGAGGAACATGGTGGCGAACAAGGACGTGCAGAATTCCATTTCTAGTGGGCAAAAACGTTTTTAGCAAATCAGCGTAGTGTCGTAGAGTGCACAATGATTAAATAAGAAGGCACTTTTATTCTTTTACCCGAACTTTGAGGAATTGATTTAGTAACTAAAAGATCTACATCGTTAATATATTTTTAGTGGTTCTTGATGTAGTCTAGTTTAGATCTATTTGAAGGAGGCATGAGTAGACAATTAGGTAACCAATAAAAACTAAGCATTTTTCAGCCATAAGCCAATAAAAGTCAACTAGCAGTGTGAACTATTTAAGTGTGAAGGGCGTTATGACTGTCTTTTAACAAAACAAAGAGGAAACTGTTTTTTCGGATCATATCATCTCTCCGTTAAGATTTTGTTATCAGGTATATTCTGGATAATTCATTTCGTTCGTTTGCTCTGTAAATGAAATCAATTTGAATTCATAAACTTTTATCTTTTGCACTTTGTTACCGTACCTTTTCTAGCAGTCGAACGATTCATTCGTATTGAATCAAACTGACTTTTTACATAAACGTTCTGGTATGCAGGAATTTTGAACCTTTCGAAACCAATACAACTTCACATATTCGCAATAAATAAAGGCGATTATTTCTCTCCAAAAATGAGAATGGGTTCAAATTCCATGTAGATTGTTAAACGAGTACTTGCGGTGGGTAAAATATGGGGTAATTATCAGTTTACAAGAATCAAGAAGACTGGATAGCCCCTTAAAACTTGCGGGCTTCCCAAAATCGTTTCATTTTAGTCGATCACATTCGTGTTTTTACGAGATGGATTAGTCGATCTCGTTTACTGCTTTCTGTTCTTCGACGGTGTTGCTTCCATTATCAAAGTCCACGGTTGAAAGGAAACAAATTTCCGTTCGTAACTGCAATCATCCAAAAGAATAGCGTGACAAAAAATATCTTACCTATCTTCTATCATCATAGAGCTTAGTAGAGAAGAACAAAAACCGAAGGAATAATGTTGATTGCAATACATCCCTATTAATAGATGGATAACCACATCAAAATAAAAGCGCTTGCGGGGCCCTGACGGGTTGAATTATGATACGAAATAGTTATCATGTGACTTCTGTGTTGACGTAATTTTATTTTCATGTCGTTTGAGGGACAAAACCAACCGTTATTGCCGGAAATGGGTCTTTAGTTGATGGATTTAGGCCTTTGATAACTCAACGGTGATCTCTGAGTACTTTGTCACTGATGTGGTTTAAATTAAAACATCCGTTATTTGGGGTAATAACAACGAGGGGGATAGGAGCGGTGATTTAAAGAAATAGACAAGGTCCTGCTTGGTGACTTTTCGTTACACGAACGATGAGTTTGTATTGTAGACGAGAGTAGAATTCAGCGTATTCATTTCAATCTTAAATCTAAAACCATCATCAATGAACAACAGACTTTACATTTCGCGGATGGATAAGTTCTTCCTCCTGCTTTTAGTTATATTAAAAAACTAGGTCACGACAGCGAGATACCCTGGGATAAAAAAAGATCACGACAAACAAAGCGAATGAGATGATGAAGAAAAGAAAAGGAAAAAACTAGAGAGAACCGTGTCATTTAGTGTTCATGCATGGTACATGTGCTCGCAATGTGACATTCCCCACTACACAGCCTTCTTTAAACTGTTTTAACTTCCGCAAGTGTATCTTAGCCTTTGCGTAAATAATATGCTGTTTTGATGTATTAAACTGATAGCGCTTAGAGGGCAAACCATGGCACAGAATGGCCGGACCTGTTAAATATTCACACTTCATTAGCAACGCAATAGCATAACAGCAACGCGATGGAACGCGAAATTTGAAAGCCGGCAATCAACATTTTAAAGGAAATGGCGGCAGAAAAGGGCGAACACCTAACTTTAATTTTAATGGGTCTTAGTTGGAAAAGTCAATACTTGTAGGCTGCAAAGTAAAGAAGAAAGCACATTTAATTAATCGAGACGCTCAGGAGAAGGACACGGCTTGTAAAACTATTGGAAATTTGTGTTGAAATGTGAATGATTTTGTAACCATTTTATATTTTAGAAAATCTTAGGCACTTTTGACCCATAAACCTCCAGGTCCTCCAGTGAGGGCTCAGTATCTGTCAGTCCTTGTGCTTTTTCTTTGCTCACCTGCTGTGTCTTCTAAATTTTGTCAACTGTTCCTTTCGTAGCAGTCGAACGATCCATCCTGGTTGCATCAAGTTGAATAGTTATGTATTTATGTCAGTTATGTCTGGTAGGCAATAATTTGACTTTGCGAAAACTACGCAATTTCACCGAATTATGTTAATAAACGGGAAAGGCAGGACAAAACATTCCATACTGATTATCAAAAAGATTTGCTTTCTGTGAATGAAATAAGTTCTACCCATCGGTTTCCGAAATCCCGAAAGCTGTAAAGTCCCTCTAATCTAATTGGTCACGACTGTTTTTCTACACATGTCGACATCATTTACTGCTTCCGCCTCTTCAACGGTAATGTTCCTATTATCAAGGTTCCTGGGAAGAAAGGAAAAAACGTTGCCTTGATAGCGGAAATCAGGCAAAATAAAGGGGTGGCAATAAATATCTGATGTATCTCATATAACCATAGAGCACAGAAGAAAACAAAAAGATCTATTTTTGTCTTCACCGGTAAACGAGTAAGTATCCGGTTTTGGTAAAGCGCCTTTTAGTGTTCTATTAACGTTAAGGTTCTGTTCTCACTTAGACGATCCACGAAAGAAGAGTGTGGCAATAAACACTTTGTGAAAAACATACATCATATTTTATCAAAGACAATCGTTTCAAAATTGATGGTCATTTTCGGATTTATCCTATTGTGTTTACTAAAATTGACTTTATGTGCTTTTAGTTTAATCTTTAAGTCGTCCTGTCAAGGTTTAGGATTATGATAACAAATTTGTAGTCCTTGCGCTTTCCTTGTTGCGTGTTAATCATTCGTTGATCCTTTTGAACTATTGTTACAAATCTAAGAAAACCTTTTCTAGGTTATGAGGGACGCTACTTACATGTAGTCGTGTTTCCTATTTCCCAGCTTTGAAATGGCTTTTCACCTTACTAAGGTACCACACCAATGACTTATTTGTTTCGATGAAAATAGGCACATAAATCGATAAAAAGACAAGTATGAATGGACAAACTAATGATGAACGAGAAATTGAATCCCGTATCGACTCAAGGTGATGTCTATTTGATTTGATTGAGAAAAGAAACATCTATTACAGGAAGTAGATCATCGTGTTTCTTAAGTTTGTGTGTGTGTTGACCATTTAAAGATAATCGACTTGAACACCATGAACAGTGGAGTGGCTTACCATTTATATCTGTCGGTCCTCCTCGTTATCTATAGGATAGAGACATGGAGATGAACAGCAATTCCCAGTGAAATTACATTGTATGATGACTAAATTTCAAAGGAGGTTAGCTTCTATTTTGTGTCTGTGTCTCAAATCTGAATGTATGTTACTTTTTGCTTTTTTTTCTGTCAGTTGTGAGAGAAGGTGAGGCCCTCGTGAATTTTTTAACTTAAACCATCTATGGGAATTGTAATGTATCAATTTTTTGTTAGGAAATAGACCACACTTTGAATTTCTATTTTTCAAAGCTTTATTGTTAATTAAACAACATCTCGTATACATGTACACTTTCTATTGTAAGAGTAAATCCTCAACAGATCAACATATATATTGATTATCATCAGTGACAGGAAGAATGATAGTCTCAATATGGACCTTTAAAAATGTTTCTATCTATTTTTACAGAGCATACAGTTTTTTCATAGCTAAGGTACTTTTTGAATGATTCCTTAGACTAAAAGTTTGTTTGACTTTCTAAGAATTTTTATTTCTGAATTCTTATGATTGAATTGAAACCTTTAAAAAGGTTGAATCCCTTAAGTCTTACCCTAAAGATATAATATCTCGTAGAATCTTAAAAAAATGTTATAAGTATTTCTTCTTTTAAATATGAAAATCATTGAGAAATCTCTGAGCCTTCCAGTGTGTCTTAAGTAGATATTGCTCTGCCAGCGCGCATTTTGTTCGGTGATATAAATAGCTTTAGATGCAAGTCAACACGTCAATGAGAACGTCTTTCAATGTGTACAGAATGACATAGTTTCTGTAAGTCTTCACCACATTGTCAGTTAAGGTTAAGCTCTAAAAAAGAGGAAAAAGAATATTGTTAATTGAAAGTTCGTGTACATGTATTCACTTTATCCTTTTAAGGTTTCTGCTGTCCTAGGAAGTGTAGATATATTTTCTAAATGCTAAAATTGATGTTCAGCAGCTTTTGAAATTAACATGATGGATATAAAAGACACGTACGAAAAATAACACCTGCAGCCTGTCTCGATAGTCCAGGCACTGACAACATTTAGTATCTCTCTTCAATAGTTTCAACGTTCACTATTAAGGTCAAATCTCAGATTTTGTCCCCGCTTTACAGTTGTAGGAAACTATGGATGTTTTTTTTACTTACTACACGTTTCATATTGACCATCGCTTGTAGGTATGTTGTAGTATAATGATCGAGGCTGGCCTCTGAGATGTGTTGAACAGTGGGTATTGATGAACCAGTTTTCTTTATCTGTGAATTGTCATATGATAAACATGCATAGGTTTTTCAGATTAAATTAATTGCTTAAAATTTGCGTTAGTTAGCAGTTTTAAAGGCAAATCAGGAGTATTGAGAGTCAGGTTCTTGGTCTACTTGTGGCTTTTGTCTGCCTCAGCAAGTTAGTATTTTAGTTTTCGTTTTCGCTTTAAAACCGTATTCCGCTGTTCTCTTACAATAAGTGAAGTAAAATCTTAACGAGATTAAAATGTAAGTCCCTTCATAAGGGAATAGTTAGTTTTGAAGGTAACTTACCTCACGCCTCAATCTTCACACTGTATTATTCAGGTGAAAACTGGTGTCTTTGAGCACTCTTGCCAACACTTTGTGCTGAGATCCTTTAGCTTCTTCACAGGAGTATGCCAGGTAAAGTGGACGGATGAAGTTGTAAAGTTGGATAAAGGCAATGGAGAGATTGTCTTTCTTTTGCTGAAGAGAGTTAAAATTGAGCAAATTGTTTTTATCTTAATAGTGTCATTAACTTACAGAAAGAAAAGTTCTGTCAAGCATTTTCTCAGACAATAGCGATCTTTGTAATGAGTTATAGTCCAACTTTTACTCAGTATTAAGAACTTGTTCCAGATGGTAGTCAAATGATTCACCCTTGTTGTATGAAGTTGATCAGTTTTGCATTTTATGTCTGATATGCAATAATTTTGAATTCGTGAGACCAATGCAATTTTACAGATTCATGTTGAATTTAAGAGAAAGGCAAATTCCATAAAACTCCATAAAGATTGCTAAAAATTTGCGTTCTGTGGGTTAAACAAGTTCTACCTATCGGTTTCAAAAAATCCCGAAAACTGCAAAGCCCCTTTAATCGAATCGGTCATGAGACCGGTGTTTCTCTATGCAAGTCGACCTAGTCTACGGTTTCCGCCTCTTCAACGGTAATGTTCCTATAATCAAGGTTCCCGGTAAGAAAGGAAGAAACACCGAGTTCGTAACTGCGATCAAGCAAAAGAAAAGTGTGACAATAAATATCTTACGTATTGCATATCATCATAGTGTTTAGAAGAGACGAGGTACAATGAGAGTTGCAGTAATGTTATATTAATGCATCATTAGCGATGTATGATCTGTTTGGTGTTTAGCTCGACGCATCTCGGAATTTTTTTTTTATTGAAAGCGCCCGCTGAGCCCTGCTGGTTGAATGAGCGTGTGCAATATTTACAACGTGACTTCTGTGTTGACGTGATTCTATTTTCATATCAAACCAGCGGGGTCGTTAGTTTATGGGTTTACGCCCTTGATTAGTTATAGGCAATCTATTTGTACTTTGTCACTATTCTCATCAATACATCAAGCAGAGGCCAAGGGCTGCTCAATAGTCTAAATTGAAGGAATGAACAATATGTCCTAATTTGCTGACTTGACGCCGCATGAACATATAATTTCACGGTTTAGGAAGGTGGATTTATCATTTGAATGAATTCCTCGTTGTCTACTAGAAACCAGCTACGCCAATCTTTTCGTAGGCTTTATCGAACACCCATTTTTTAGTCAAAACAACGGCCCAAAACCTGAACTCTACGGTCGCTACATTAACGACTGCATCGGCGCCACCTCCTCTACCAGAGAGGAGCTCACTCAATTTATAACCGCCGTCAATTCTTTTCACCCGGCTCTGAAATATACCTGGGGAATTTCTAACACTTCTTTGGCTTTTCTAGACATCAAAATTTCAATTGAAGGGAACGGTCTGTGCACTAGGTGTTTACTACAAACCTACAGACTCACATAGTTACTTGTTGTATTCATCTTCGCATTCATCACAAGTCAAGAATTCCATACCATTTTCACATTTTTTCAGACTTCGTCGTTCATGTAGTGACAACTCTGATTTTTCAGAAAAATCAGAGGCAATGTGCCAGTTTTTCGATAAACGTGGCTATCCAGTTCTTGTCGTTCAAGCGGGCCACCCGGCACCGTGCCCAACAATGATCGACAGTCAGCAGTCACTACAAACGGCTGAGAAGGGAAATACTGATCGCCTTCCATTCACTCTCACATTTCACCCTCACAACCACGCTGTTAAATACATCATTTTCAAAAACTTTGAAGTACTTCAAAACGATTCAGAGACTGGTACTATCTTTCTGCAACCTCCACCAGTATAATTCAAACGTGACAAAAACATAGGCAGCTTTTTGGACAAAAGTTCATTTCAAACCAATAACAAACCTGGAACTTTCCAATGCGCTTGCTCAGTGTGCAAAACTTGTCCTTTCATTCATAACGTAGAGAAAATGTTTGGACCCAAGTGCTCTATTAAGATCACTCACCACTTCACGTGTGCCTCCGCCAGTGTCATCTACTGCATAATTTGCATTGATTGCAAAAAGGTCACACATTGGTGATCGATTCCGAGAACACCTTCGCGACGTAGAATGAAATGACAAGGATTCATCCTAATCAGTCGTTAGAAACTTTAATCTCCCTAATCATGAATTTTTTTCGGAAACGTGAGCGAAACACTGTCATCAACTACAGACAACTAGAAATAGAAGGTTTGACAAAATTATACCTCAAATTCATTCTTAACTTCACCATGAATTTGTCACGAAAAGGAACGGAACTTTTATTTGCGCATTTAGTTTGCTTGATTTTAAAGTTTTGATCACTGCTATGCATGTTAATAGAAATACTTTTTCGCATTCTCACCATACGACGCAATGCATTCACTGTGGCTCTCAGGTGCATGCGCACGTCCATGAGCAGACCTTTCAACCTCTTGTTCTGCGGTGTCTGTGCTACTTCATACGAGTACACCATGTTCACTGGATTTATGAAATCTTTCATTTTGGCATAAGCGATGGTTAGGTTGTCTTTTCTTTGCTTTGAATAGAGGAATGAAACAAGCAAATTGTTATTTTGTAGTACCATAACCCTGGTTTAATATCTGCAAATTTTGCGGAAAAAAAAAATCTCGTGAAATAAAGCGCTGCAAAGGTAACTACCTTTCGTCAAATTAAAAAAAAAGTGGGCAAAGAATAATAGTAGGCTTCTGAGATTTTTTCCGGGCCAGCACCTATGGAAAGTAATCTAATTCCATCTAAGAGTTTTTTATTTGGATGAAATATTCCTAAATGACGGAATGCGCTGTTTTTCAACAATTTAAAAAAATTAAATCATCAGTGTTTTCTTTCTTGTCAAATTTTTAGTGCTTGAAAAAAAATGTATATCAATATCTCAGGACATGAACAACAGAATAAATTATTGCCCGAAAGCTCTATGAGTTGTCACTATTCGCAAATCAAAACCTACGCAAATTTTTTCGTTCTACATAATAGCATTCTTGAATCTTTCTTTTCTGATTAGTGGAGACGTGACTTTAGGGAACAACGGCCTGTTACTAGTACAGAAATTTGGACAAAGGTCGGAGTTTTTTTTGGAAAACCACTAAAATGTTAGGACAAAATGACACATAGATTCAAGAGACGGAAACCACGAGGCATAAAACCATATGTATGTGTCTGGTTGAAACTTTGTACTCCAAATTTATCAAATGAAAAAATGTTGAGATACACTGTTATCCATATTGGGGACAGATATCAAAAGGTAACGGATACTCTCTTCAGTTTTTTTTTTTTTTTGCAGTGTTTTTACCCCTGGTAACAAATAAAATACTAGACTAACTAAACAATACTAGGTCGTACCTTGCCTATATCGCAAACTTGCGTGTTGACAACTCCAAGTGCAAGAGTGGTCTCGCTTAAATCATAGTTTGAAGCTATGAAACTGTAGACGTTGAGCATCTGTGGGAGAGAGATGTTAGTATTGACGAATGTTTTCTCGAGTTAGGCACTAGACAACGAAGTAAATAATTACAGCCGCATTCTCAAAAAAACGCGACCATAATGCTAAATCAAATTCAATCACTTTACCTCTTTGGTAGCGTTTCTGCGATAGGGTTCCAAGTGAATTCTCATGAAGATTTCCGCATCTGTAACGACTGTCGCGAAACTAGTCGAGCTTAGCACTATTAATATAAACATGGCTGCAAACAGGAATTTACACTTGGATGCCATTTCTATAATGTCTGGATAATAAGTAGAAAAAGACAATTATGAAATAATCTGAGGAATTCGAGCTTGTTTAAGTCAAACTATGAAATAAAATAATACGTTGCCTATCTTAGAAGAGGGCGTTTTACAGGCCCACTCTTTAAATAGGAACCTTTTGAAGTCGAGACTACGGATAAAACCACCGATTAAATCCTGAAAAGTTGTTATCCTCGAATTTGTTTATTTAAAGAATAATGTTTCCTCGCTGTTTAATTGAGAGGACATTTCACTTGCTCTCTTTTTTTTAAGAGCCCTTTTGAAACGTTTTTAACTCGACAGTGAGGTAAAGATTAAAGAAAAGGGTTCGTTCAAACTTGCATACCGGTGATTTTGTGATTTTTCCCCAAAGATCAGCCTATGTTTTATTGCCCTCTTCCTTAAAACTCTTCTTTAAGATAAATTATGTAAAACTTGGCTACAAATGATCCTGCAATGGATCCTCGGAAATTAGCTTATGTTTTATTGTCCTCTTCCTTTAAATTCTTCTTCAAGGTGAATTATGTAACATTTGACTTAAGGCTTCCTATGAGTTCTATCAGGAGCACAAATGTAGAAGTCTCTCTTTACTCACCTTACACTTCTCTCTTGGTAGATGATTCAGACTGGCACGCTGAAAGAAGTCACAGGCACATCCTTTATTTCTTGTGTTCTTGACAGTTGCCTGCTATATCTAAATAGATTACCTGAATTTTTAATTTGGTTAATCATTGATTGAGAGCAGATTGGTTTTTGGATTTAAATTAAATTCTTTTAGATTCTTCTCCAAGGTAAATTATGTAAAACTCGGCTTAAGGGTTCTAATGATTTCCAGCAGGAGCTTAAACGTGCATGGTATATCTGTCTATAAAAAACGTCGAAGTCTCTCTTAACTCACCTTACAGTTTATTCTTTGTAGACGATTTAGACAGGTGCACGCTGAAAGAAGTTACAGTACAGGCACACCCCTTATTTCTTGTGTTCTTGGCGGTCACCGGCTTTGTCTAAATAGATTACCTGAATTTTTCATTTTAATCCGTTGATTTGGATAATCATTGATTGAGAGCAAATTGGTTTTGGATTTCAATTACATAGATTCTTTTCCAAGGTGAATTATGTAAAACTCGGCTGAAGGCTTCTAATGATTTCCAGCAGAAGCTTAAACGTGCATGGTATATCTGTCTATAAAAAACGTCGAAGTCTCTCTTAACTCACCTTACAGTTTATTCTTTGTAGACGATTTAGACTGGCACACGCTGAAAGAAGTCACAGTACAGGCACATCCCTTATTTCCTGTGTTCTTGGCGGTCACCGGCTTTGTCTAAGTAGATTACCTGAATTTTTCATTTTAATCCGTTTGATTTGGATAATCATTGATTGAGAGCAAATTGGTTTTGGATTTCAATTACATAGATTCTTTTCCAAGGTGAATTATGTAAAACTCGGTTTAAGGCTTCTAATGATTTGGATAATCATTGATTGAGAGCAGACTGGTTTTTGGAGAAAAACTAAAAAACTTGATATTAACAATGATGATAAAACCAATAACAGTTCTTAGGACGCCTTTCTCAAGTCTCAATGTGTTTACTTACTAACTTTGAGGAGCATGGTGGCGAACAAGGACGTGCAGAATTCCATTTCTAGTGGGCAAAAACGTTTTTAGCAAATCAGCGTAGTGTCGTAGAGTACACAATGATTAAATAAGAAGGCACTTTTATTCTTTTACCCGAACTTTGAGGAATTGATTTAGTAACTAAAAGATCTACATCGTTAATATATTTTTAGTGGTTCTTGATGTAGTCTAGTTTAGATCTATTTGAAGGAGGCATGAGTAGACAATTAGGTAACCAATAAAAACTAAGCATTTTTCAGCCATAAGCCAATAAAAGTCAACTAGCAGTGTGAACTATTTAAGTGTGAAGGGCGTTATGACTGTCTTTTAACAAAACAAAGAGGAAACTGTTTTTTCGGATCATATCATCTCTCCGTTAAGATTTTGTTATCAGGTATATTCTGGATAATTCATTTCGTTCGTTTGCTCTGTAAATGAAATCAATTTGAATTCATAAACTTTTTTCTTTTGCACTTTGTTACCGTACCTTTTCTAGCAGTCGAACGATTCATCCGTATTGAATCAAACTGACTTTTTACATAAACGTTCTGGTATGCAGGAATTTTGAACCTTTCGAAACCAATACAACTTCACATATTCGCAATAAATAAAGGCGATTATTTCTCTCCAAAAATGAGAATGGGTTCAAATTCCATGTAGATTGTTAAACGAGTATTTGCGGTGGGTAAAATATGGGGTAATTATCAGTTTACAAGAATCAAGAAGACTGGATAGCCCCTTAAAACTTGCGGGCTTCCCAAAATCGTTTCATTTTAGTCGATCACATTCGTGTTTTTACGAGATAGATTAGTCGATCTCGTTTACTGCTTTCTGTTCTTCGACGGTGTTGCTTCCATTATCAAAGTCCACGGTTGAAAGGAAACAAATTTCCGTTCGTAACTGCAATCATCCAAAAGAATAGCGTGACAAAAAAATATCTTACCTATCTTCTATCATCATAGAGCTTAGTAGAGAAGAACAAAAACCGAAGGAATAATGTTGATTGCAATACATCCCTATTAATAGATGGATAACCACATCAAAATAAAAGCGCTTGCGGGGCCCTGACGGGTTGAATTATGATACGAAATAGTTATCATGTGACTTCTGTGTTGACGTAATTTTATTTTCATGTCGTTTGAGGGACAAAACCAACCGTTATTGCCGGAAAAGTTGATGGATTTAGGCCTTTGATAACTCAACGGTGATCTCTGAGTACTTTGTCACTGATGTGGTTTAAATTAAAACATCCGTTATTTGGGGTAATAACAACGAGGGGGATAGGAGCGGTGATTTAAAGAAATAGACAAGGTCCTGTTTGGTGACTTTTCGTTACACGAACGATGAGTTTGTATTGTAGACGAGAGTAGAATTCAGCGTATTCATTTCAATCTTAAATCTAAAACCATCATCAATGAACAACAGACTTTACATTTCGCGGATGGATAAGTTCTTCCTCCTGCTTTTAGTTATACTAAAAAACTAGGTCACGACAGCGAGATACCCTGGGATAAAAAAGATCACGACAAACAAAGCGAATGAGATGATGAAGAAAAGAAAAGGAAAAAACTAGAGAGAACCGTGTCATTTAGTGTTCATGCATGGTACATGCGCTCGCAATGTGACATTCCTCACTACACAGCCTTCTTTAAACTGTTTTAACTTCCGCAAGTGTATCTTAGCCTTTGCGTAAATAATATGCTTTTTTGATGTATTAAAATGATAGCGCTTAAAAAAAAGACAAGTATGAATGGGTAAATTAATGATGAACGAGAAATTAAATCTCATATCGACTCAAGGTGATGTCTATTTGACTTGATTGAAAAAAGTAACATCTATTACAGGAAATAGATCATCGTGTTTCTTAAGTTTGTGTATGTGTTGACCATTTAAAGATAATCGACTTGAACACCATGAACAGTGGAGTGGCTTACTATTTATATCTGTCGGTCCTCCTCGCTATCTATAGGATAGAGACATGGAGATGAACAGCAATTCCCAGTGAAATTACATTGTATGATGACTAAATTTCAAAGGAGGTTAGCTTCTATTTTGTGTCTGTGTCTCAAATCTGAATGTATATTACTTTTTGCTTTTTTTTCTGTCAGTTGTGAGAGAAGGTGAGGCCCTCGTGAATTTTTTAACTTAAACCATCTATGGGAATTGTAATGTATCAATTTTTTGTTAGGAAATAGACCACACTTTGAATTTCTATTTTTCAAAGCTTTATTGTTAATTAAATAACATCTCGTATACATGTACACTTTCTATTGTAAAAGTAAATCCTCAACAGATCAACATATGTACTGATTATCATCAGTGACAGGAAGAATGATAGTCTCAATATGGACCTTTAAAAATGTTTCTTACAATTTTTATTTATGAATTCTTATGATTGAATTAAAACCTTTAAAAAGGTTGAATCCCTTAAGTGTTACCCTGAAGATATAATATCTCGTAGAATCTTAAATAATGTTATAAGTATTTCTTCTTTTAAATACGAAAATCATTCAGAAATCTCTGAGCCTTCCAATGTGTCTTAACTAGATGTTGCTCTGCCAGCGCGCATTTTATTCGGTGATATAAATAGCTTTAGATGCAAGTCAACACGTCAATGAGAACATCTTTCAATGTGTACAGAATGACATAGTTTCTGTAAGTCTTCACCACATTGTCAGTTAAGGTTAAACTCTAAAAAAGAGGAAAAAAGAATATTGTTAATTGAAAGTTCGTGTACATGTATTCACTTTATCCTTTTAAGGTTTCTGCTGTCTAAGGAAGTGTAAATATATTTTCTAAATGCTAAAATTGATGTTCAGCAGCTTTTGAAATTAACATGATGGATATAAAAGGCACGTACGAAAAATAACACCTGCAGCCTGTCTCGATAGTCCAGGCACTGACAACATTTAGTATCTCTCTTCAATAGTTTCAACGTTCACTATTAAGGTCAAATCTCAGATTTTGTCCCCGCTTTACAGTTGTAGGAAACTATGGATGTTTTTTTTACTTACCACACGTTTCATATTGACCATCGCTTGTAGGTATGTTGTAGTATAATGATCGAGGCTGGCCTGTGAGATGTGTTGAACAGTGGGTATTGATGAACCAGTTTTCTTTATCTGTGAATTGTCATATGATAAACATGCATAGGTTTTTCAGATTCAAGGAGGAAACCAAGCACATCATTACTTAAAATTTGCGTTAGTTAGCAGTTTTAAAGGCAAATCAGCAGTATTGAGAGTCAGGTTCTTGGTCTACTTGTGGCTTTTGTCTGCCTCAGCAAGTTAGTATTTTAGTTTTCGTTTTCGCTTTAAAACCGTATTCCGCTGTTCTCTTACAA